AAGAATTTAATTGGACAAATAGACATCAGAAAGCTTTTGAAGATCTAAGACAACAACTGACTACGGAACCAATCTTAGTTTATCCAGATTGGGAGAAATCATTTATACTATCAACTGATGCATCAACTTTTGCTGTTGGAGCAATCCTTTCACAATTGGACAAACAAGGAAATGAAAGAGTAATCGCTTATGCGAGTAGACAGTTAAGACCTGCAGAAAGAAATTATGCGGCAACTGAATTAGAATGCCTCGGCATTATTTGGGCAATCAAACACTTCCATTCGTATCTAAGTGGATCAAAGTTTAAATTGATCACTGATCATGCAGCACTGAAATATTTGAACAACATGAAAGACCCTAAGGGGAAACTTGCTCGATGGATTATGACTTTACAATCTTATAATTTCGAAGTAGAGCACAGAGCAGGGAAGAAACATCAAAATGTGGATGCTATATCAAGAATCAAATCGGAATATTGGTATTAGGATAGTGGAACATTCATAGACATTATATTAATATATATATTCTATTATTTTATATGTTATTGTTTCATATTTTCTACTTTATATTTATTTTATATCTTATTGTAATTTAACTTTCTTGCGGACATGATGACTTGGTGGATGATCATGACGGTAATGCACGGATCTGGTTGGGGTGCATTACACTTTTAACACTTTATACTTTATTATTATCTTACATTATATATTTTATTTTATTATTATTTATTCTAACCTTTTAATCATAGAAAAATTTTATTGAACAATTCTTTCGAGAAGGTTTCAATAATAGTTCATATATATTTCTTGTGAACAACATTAGGACTTTCAACGGAGAAAAACTTTATTGGAATTCAAAATATTGTTCTTAAGGGATATATGTGAAGGATTGTTGCCCTATAGAAAATTTATGTACGGAAGTTCCTTACATTTTGTAATATTTATTTGTAAGGAATAATCCTTTAATAATGTACGTAAAATTTTTTGTAAATGTGTATGTGATGTAAGGAAAAATGCATTTTTACGTACATGGGAAAAAGCCTATAAATTTTATAAATAATGAGATTGTACTAAAAAACATACTTAATGTATGAAACAAACGTACTCAATGTAATAAGGAAGCATACTCAATGTACGGAGTAAACATACTCAATGTAAGAAAGAAACATACTCAATGTAAGAATTAATGTACCCAATGTAAGAATCAACATACTCAATGTAAGAAGTAAATGTACTCAATGCAAGAAAGAAACATATTCAATGTACGTAATAAACATACTTGATGTATGGAGTAAACATACTCAATGTAAGAAAGAAACATACTCAATGTAAGAAGTAAATGTATTTAATGCAGGGAGTAAATGTACTTGATGTAAGGAGTAAATGTACTTAATGTATAAAAATTATTTTTTTAATTCAAATGTTTTTATTACAATTTCTTTTTAGTCTGGTATTTTTATTTTCTTTCTTTGCTGGTGATTTTTTGGATTTTTTGCTTGGTGGAGATTTATCTTTAGGCTTTCTTTTATTGGATTCTAAACAATGCAAGTAATTTAATTAATTAATTAATATTATTATAATTGAAAAATTATAATCATGATGAAATTGTGAATCATTTAACCACATATTTTTTTTTTGAAAAAGAAAATAAGTAATAATATATATTAATATTTAATTTTTGCTGCATAACAATTATTGTTCACCTATATTAATATATATAATAATATATTATTTTTTTTCCACAATTTTCTTTTTTTTTTGCGTAACTAAATCCGTTTTTTTTTTTGAAAAAGAAAAGTAATTAATATTATAATGTAATATAATGTTAATAATTATTATAATAAATAATAATGTAATATAATATAATTTATATAATAATAATATATATAATGTTTTTCTTTTTTTCCCCCATACTAGCCGCGTAACAAGACCTGTTTTTTTTAAAAGTAATTAATATTATAATAAAAATAATAACGTAATATAATATAATTTATATAATAATAATAATATATATAATGTTTTTCTTACTAGCGCGTAACAAGATCCGTTTTTTTTTTTTGAAAAAGAAAAGTAATTAAAATAATAATGTAATATAATGTAATGTAATAATATAATATAATAATAATATATATAATGATTTTCCTTGCTAATCACATAATAAGTGTTCACTAGATCTGTTTTTTTTTTTGAAAAAGAAAAGTAATTAAAATAATAAGTAATAATATAGTATAATAACAATATATATAATGATTTTTTTTCCCTTAATTGTTGCGTAACAAGCTTGTTCACCTAGATCTGTAATAAAATAATAATGTAATAATATAATACCATTATTATAATATTCTTTTTTCTTTTTCCTTTTTGAAAAAGAAAAGTAATTAATATTATATAATAAAGTAATAAAGTATAATAATAATTTTTCCTTACTAGTTGCGTAACCTTTTGTTACTTTAAACTTCCATGCTTAAAACACCTCTTCAAAGATTATTTTTCTTCAAAAGAAAATATTATCTTTTTCACCTAAAAGAAAGTATGTACAATAATAATACAAGTGTATATAATGTATATAATTATAAGTTACTACCCAAAAGAAGTTTTTTTTGTATATTAAACCAAGGTGTATATAGCAGTTTGTGTTGAAAAAATTTTTTTGTAAACAAGTTATTAATTGTATGATAGAAGAAAATTATAACAGAAAAATAAGTTAATTTAAGAATTTGCCAAAAAAAAGAGTTTACAAAAATGATGTAAAAATGAATACATTTTTTGTACCAAAAAAATTTCCTTTGAGGGAGTGATCAATTTATCATTATCAATTATCAATTATTAATTGTAAGATTCTCATATTGGCTACCTGATTAGTTTCTTTCTTTCGCCCATCAGCTAATTCTATAGTTAAAGGAGTAGTAGTTCTAACAGCTAAATTATTTTCTTTTACAAAATTTTTATCAATGAAATTTCATGAAGCGCCACTGTCTAAAAGGATCCATGCATCTTTCCCATTGATTTTACCATTGAACCAAAGCAAGCTTTCTTTATTTTCTTCAAGTTGAACTAGTTCCAAATTGTTATTACTAGCAGTGTCATCTTCAATATTTTAAGTGTGGAACTTTGTAGTCTCATGAGAAATGTCCTAACCTTCCACAATTATAACATCCTTCCTTTGATGACTTACCTTTGTTATTGTTACTACCATGATTATTATTGTTGTTACTAGAATATTTATTTTGTTGATAACTAGTACAATTATGATTTCTACTTTCTCCAATGTAATCAAGATCCATTGGTCTTGGTCCTCCATCATCTCTTGGTGGGGGTGGTGGATGATTATAGTTTGTGGTTCGTGACTTATTACTATTCATTGGTTTTCCAATTCCCCACATTGCAGAATCATATCATACATCAAGATTTATTGCAGCTTCTAAACTTTGTGGTGCTTGGTATGCTAATTCTTTTTGGGTGTCAGGTTTTAATCCATCTAAATAATGTGCCAATTGGTCCAGGTCTCCCATTCCTTCTATTTGTCTAACAACATTTTGGAACTGGGTGGTATAATCTTGGACACTCCCTGTTTGTTTCAATCGTCTCAATTGTTGACATAAATAAGATTGGTAATTTGGAGGTTGGAAGGCAGCTCACACAGCAGTTTTAAATGCATTCCAATCACCCCATGGTACCCCAGTATTATTTCCATGTTCTGTCATTCGAGCTAGGTACCAATGTAATGCAGCTTCTTTCATTCCAGTACTAGCATAGTAGCAACAAATTCCAACATCATTAATTCCTTGAGCAGCAAAAATTGTTTTAGCTTGCATTAACCATGTAGCTACATTCTCTTTGGTTTCTCCTTTAAAAATTGGAATTTGTACTGCAATCCTAGGTGGTGCATTTCTGCCTTGTTGATTACCAAGGTGTTGAGTGAGTTGTCCTAATGCTGCTATTAATTGGTTGAATTGAGTGGCATCCATTGTTGTTACTTGTTGTTCTAGGTTATTTGTAATAGGTTGGTTAGTAAGTTATTAATTGCATAGTTGATTGTTGGGCCCTTCTTCTTTGTTGATTTAAAATGTCATATTCATCTAATTCTCTTCCTGGTTGTAATGTAGAAATAGTAGAGTTTTCTTGAGAGTTTTCTTTGTCAGAGTCACTGTCAGTGTTGTTTCCCTAAATATATTATAAAAGTTACTCATACAGAATTGTTAGAGGTATGTGTGTGTAAAAGTATGTGTGTGTAAAAGTATGTGTGTGTAAAAGTATGTGTGTGTAAAAGTATGTGTGGGTGGGTGTATGTGTGTGTATATAATTTCCGCTGCTACCAACTTGTAAGGAAACCCTTTTTCATTATGTCAAAATACTATATAATTGTTTTAATTATTAAAAAAATACAAGTCATACAAGTTCTTTATTAATTACGGAAAGCTTATCTTTTTATACAAAAATGCATAATATAATATTACAATTAAACTAGAGTGACGACGAGTGGCGATAGCCACCACCATCCTTACGATAAACACTTATCTGGTGACATCTTCCCAGGAATTTTCTTTTTATTTTCTTTTTTTCTTGCTTACAGCAGCAGACATTTTTTTTTATTAAATTTTTAATATTAAAGAAAATTTATTTGGTGTTGCACAGATTTTTTTTTGTTGACGCGATAGATTTTTTTTCCTTGGAAAACAATTTAGATGCCAAAACACACAAATGTTGTTATTTGGTTCTGAAGAAGTGTTAAGAACTAACCAGAGGTACTATTTTTTATTTGTATTGATATTTTTATAAATATTTTAATTGGAATCTATAAAATCTTTAT